TCCTTTTTTAATCAATATCAGCGCTTACAATTTTAAACTAATAACAAACCCTGTATGAGGAAATTGCCTAGATTCAGACCCATTTGGGAAATAAACCAAATTGAATCATTTTATAATCAACATTAAAGCTCTCTCTCTCTCTCTCTCTCTCTCTCTATATATATATATATATATATATATATATATATATACACACACACACACAAATGACTGAAATGAAATTTTATTTTGCTGTTATGGTCCAGCATGGAGGTATGTTAACTGATCCTCTGTGTTTGTAATTAAGCCAGTAGCGTGTGAGCAGGCTACATTAAAACACATGGCCTTTACGAAGCAAGCATCTGGGGACAGGGGACACCCACTACAAGACCAGGCGGCACCAGCTACGAGACCAGGGGACACAAGCTACCAGACCAGGGGACACAAGCTACCAGACCAGGGGACACAAGCTACCAGACCAGGCGGCACCAGCTACCAGACCAGGGGACACAAGCTACCAGACCAAGGGACACAAGCTACAAGACCAGGGGACACCAGCTACGAGACCAGGGGACACCAGCTACGAGACCAGGGGACACAAGCTACAAGACCAGGGGACACCAGCTACCAGACCAAGGGACACAAGCTACAAGACCAGGGGACACCAGCTACCAGACCAGGGGACACAAGCTACCAGACCAGGGGACACCGGGTATGAGACCAGGGGACACCAGCTACCCAGTGGTGGAGGAAGTACTGAAGCTTAGTACTTAAGTAAAAGTACAAATATCCTGCAAAATATGTACTCAAGTAAAAGTAGAAGTGCTACATCAACAGTCTTACTTAAGTGAAAGTACTAAGTACTTACTTTTAAATTTACTTTAAAGCATTTTTTTTAAGTAAAAGTACTCACACAATGGTTTGTCTCGGGTGTGCCATTTTGTAAAAGAATAGTAGATATACTGACTTACGCCTCTACCGATGTCATTGCTCGTAATAATTACAAGGAACTATACAGTATATGTGTGTTGGAAAGTTTGGTGTGTTTGCTGCATGCACTCTGCAATACTGTGTGTACCCTAACTTAGAATTATGTGGATGACAAGTTATCTACTAAGTATTACCCACTAATATACCATTAAGATAAACCAATCAGGACATGATATATCTTTAAATCATTTATGTACTTGCAAAACTATTCAACACATCTGTTATGACCGATGTTGGCTCTGGGTCCATGTTGAATGTCTCGTCTTCTTGAAATCAAGCCAGTCTACCAGCTCCTGCTGCCAATTGACGCGCGCTCTGCCATCATTGGAGCTAATAAAGCCACCTGATTGGTAGGAAATGGCAAACGACGCCAGAACGCAATAGGCTAACTATTTTTTCATGCAAGATTTTGAGGAAATTGTGTTCAAAAAACGACTAACGGCATAAATTGTAGAAATGTAGTGGAGTAGAAAGTACAGATAATTGCCACAAAATGTAATGGAGTAATGTAATGTAATGTAATGTAATGGAGTAAAATAAAAAGTACAGATACGTAAAAATGTACTTAAGTATAGTAACGAAGTACAAATACTTTGTTACATTCCACCACTGCAGCTACCAGACCAGGGGACACCAGCTACAAAACCAGGGGACACCAGGTACGAGACCAGGGGACACCAGCTACCAGACCAGGGGACACCAGCTACAAAACCAGGGGACACCAGGTACGAGACCAGGGGACACCAGCTACCAGACCTGGGGACACCTACACAAGAACATCACTACCTTTGTTTCTGTCCCCTTTTTTCTGTCACGATTGCCTTAATATGGAGTTCATACAAAGCCAAAACAAACACTTAAAGCTGTAATTCTTCCTCAAAATATGCATGAGGAATCAGTCATGAAGAACCCCGCAGCACACCAGCCCTGACTGCTAATTAGCTGGCCGCTTATTATGGTAACGAGCCTGTATTGTCTTTCATGCCATTCTGAGTATTACTAAACCATTCACTCCTCTCTTTGGTCAGCCCCCTTGCTTTCATGCAGACGTATCGCCATCTGCTGGACACATGAAGCAATGGCCAAAAGTGGCACCACATGATGTGGTTGTAAACCAAAGGACTGCAGCAGAGCAGGGCCACTCGCCCTGGAAGGAGATCAGATGCTCCTCAGAGGGGACATGACAGCACTTTGGGGAAATAACTATGCCTGGCATTCTATGACGGCACCTTGCCATAAATCTGCTGCTCCGAGACCCCAGAACACAGCCTCGATGAAGGTGCAGAGGACCTCAGTGCGGTATGTAGACCCTGAGAACAGTACGGAGGACCTGAGCACAGTGCAGAGGACCTGAGTACAGTACAGAGGACCTGAGTACAGTGCAGAGGACCTGAGTACAGTGCAGAGGACCTGGGTGCAGTGCAGGGGACCTGAATGTGGTGCGGTGCTTTAGCATGGTGTGGACGACCTGAGTGCAGTATGTAGGCCCTGAGCACAATACAGAGGACTTGAGTGCAGTACAGAGGACCTGAGTACAGTACAGAGGACCTGAGCACAGTGCAGAGGACTTGAGTGCAGTACAGAGGACCTGAGTACAGTACAGAGGACCTGAGCACAGTGCAGAGGACCTGAGTACAATACAGAGGACCTGAGTACAGTACAGAGGACCTGAGCACAGTGCAGAGGACCTGAGTACAATACAGAGGACCTGAGCATAGTGCAGAGGACCTGAGTACAGTACAGAGGACCTGAGCGTAGTGCAGGGGACCTGAGTGTGGTGCGGTGTTTGAGCATGGTGTGGATGATCTGTAGTGCATAGGCCCTGAGCATAGTACACAGGACCTGAGTGCAGTGCAGAGGACTTGTGCATGGTGTGGAGGGCCTGAGTATGCTACATTGGAATGGATCGAGTTGCAGAGGCCCTGAGCACAGTGCTGTGCGGAGGACCTGAGCATGGTACTGAGGCCGTGAGTGCGGCACAGAGGCCCTGAGCACTGTGCAGAGGACTTGACCATGGTGCGGAGGCTCTGAGCAAGTGACAGAGGACCTGAGCACAGTGCCATGTGGAGGACCTGTGCAAGGTGCATAAGACCTGAGCATGGTGCAGAAAATCTGGGCACAGTGTGGAGGAGCTGAGCATGATGCAGAGGACCTGAGCATGGTGCAGAAAATCTGGGCACAGTGTGGAGGAGCTGAGCATGATGCAGAGGACCTGAGCATGCTATGGAGGACCAGAGTGTGATGTACAGGACCTAAGAGTGGTGTGGAGGCCCTGAGTGCAATGGGGAGGGCTGTTGTACCCGGTAATGCCAGTGGCTGTGCCTCCTGCTGACCCGCAATCCTGAAGGTGGTCAGAGGGCTGCAGGGGCTTCGCAGGTGCTGGGGGAGTCTGTGTAGTGACCCCCCTCCCCCAAGGTAAATGGCATTGGGGACATGCTACCAAATGACAAGCGGTGACCATAAATCACAGAGCAGCCCTGCTGGCCACAGGGCATCACAGACTCATTTTAGAGAGGGGGGCTATGCCTTTGTGGCTGCCCCCATCCCCCCGCCAGTCCGGCTGACCACCCTGATGCAGGGAGCTGAGGTGCCAAGACACTGGCCATCTGTGTGTGGGTGATTTTGTGGGAAAAGCCCCCCCACCACCTCTGAGTAACAGACACCAGAATTGGCATTTGCCATGATTCTCGCTCATTCACACGCCCGGCCAGAGGGCCCTGGGGCCACAGTTCACACCAGGGGCCACAGGCTCGCTGCTCTATGCTTTGCAGGGTCCAGTGGCATAAGCGTAAACATCAGGGGTGAATTATAGCTGGGGAGCCTCTGGCTCGCAGTGGAGCCGCCTGACCGCAGTGCGGGACCATCTTTCTTCTGGGTCTTATTTTGCTTGGCCATGGAGACGGAACGCTCAGAGGCTAATTGCCCCAAGCGGGGGGAAACACATCCTTCTCTCGACGGCAGGACCTTCAGCTCACGCTAATTAGACAGCATTCAGACTGTCCCCAGGTGATGATGTCATCCACGTGCCTCGCCGCATCGCAGATCAGCACAGCCATGTGTCCGAGTTCTCAGGTGCACCCTGATTGTATTGTATGTCCTGCTGTTACGGGAGTTTATTTTGGGGGGAGGGGGTTACAGGGGCTAGCATTACATTCCAGAACAGCACTACCTTGCAGAAATGCCCCCCTCACCCCCACCCACCACGAAACCCACACTGATGTCTCTCCAAAACAGTGGAGGACATTGACCATGCCAGAGAACAGCACGCAGATGGAAGATCTCGCTACCGCCCCCCTACTCTGTGGCAGGGGAGTACTTACACTACCTTTTCATCTGAAATGTAACATTTCCGTAATCCCTTGTAGGAATGAATGAATGCTACATTTACGTAGCACTTTTCAAGACACCCAAAGCGCATTAGAGAACCAATGGGGAGTCACTTCAACCGCCACCAGTGTAACGCCAACCTGGGTGATGCGATGGCAGCCAATCTGTGGCAGTACACTCACCACCCAGTAGCTAAGGTGGTGAAGGAGAATCACTCAGTCACACTGACAAGGGACAGAAAAGGTAGGGGCTGTCCCTGAGACTCCTCGTGCCAGGAGGGGGCAGATGGCTGCAGCCCTGGTGTCGTTTCGGGGGGGGGGGGGCAGCCAGATGTTCACGCTAATATTAGTGACTGCTGTCCAACAGAGGGGACAGGGGGACAGGGGGACACAGAGACACCGGCACACCCCACAGCGGAAGACACCACCAAGACACAGCAGGTATCCCAAGCAACCTTTTTGGCCTCTAGGATTCAGAGACATGGAGATCTGACCTCAAACACCCACTGCAAAAAAATATAAAACCCTAAAGAAAAGTGTATTCCTTTGATGGAAATTATTGTCTTCATTTAAATATTAAATATGTATTTTTAATATATATAAATGTTCATTTTTGTTGACTGGTTGAAAACACACTCACTCCAGCACAAGACAAGAGAGAAAATCACACATCCACTTTCTCACTCTCCTCTGCATAACGGTGAGCTTTTTTATATACGGATTTCTCTACTGAAGTGCAGATGGATTAAATATTACATCAAAGGGCCTTTAATGATTCACAGTAGATCTCAGGTTTCCCTCCAGTATCAAGTTCAAAACTAGTGCATGGCCCATTTTTCCAGTACATTTAATGGATCGCTGTCTATAATCAGATTATCACTGGCTTAATGTATAACAAATTTCACCCAAGCAGCATCAAAGGCTGGCATTACATTATAATTCCGCATGCCATCTCTGTCATAACTCAGTGTTTTACCGTTGTCAAGGGGAGGCACTGTAGCTGCAGATGCACGTTGGCATGCCGTGTGAAGGCGATCAGCAGGGGGTGGTAAAACGGCCATATACCATTTGGTGCCACCATTAAACACCAACACAGATTCCCTTTCACCTTTAATTTCATGTCTGTTGCAAAAATGTAGCCTCAGCGGGGTCAATCAAACCATGCAGTTTATTTAAACACACCTTGTGGTGCTACTGTAGTGTCTTGGGGAGGGGTTACGGTTGTGATTTAACCTGAGATTTAATGTCTCCCTTGTGTAACATCAGTGTGTTACCTCCAGATTCACAAAACAGCTGACTTTCTGTTTGGTTTGTTTTTTTCCCACTAATAAAAGGAAAAAAGGTTTCACTGCTGCCTGAGTATTGATGCTGCTCTCTAAGAACTGGTACCACTTCCTGAGCACTGATACTGCTTTCTGAGGACTGGTACCACTGCCTGAGCACTGATACTGCTCTCTGAGGACTGATACCACTGCCTGAGCACTGATACTGCTCTCTGAGGACTGATACCACTGCCTGAGCACTGATACTGCTTTCTGAGGACTGGTACTGTACCACTGCCTGAGCACTGATGCTGCTCTCTGAGGCCTGGTACCACAGTCTCCTTAGGGCACACTGCTCCATTTTAGTATGTCTCTCAGGTGACCTCCCATCATCACTGGCCATGTAAGTTGTATCACAATTAGTGGTTCACATTTAAGGGCCTAATCTGCATGATCTGGGAAGAGAAAGCAGATGATTAATGACTTCCGGGACGACAAGATGAGCGCGGTCTGACCGCGACAGTGGGCGAACTGAGGGCCCTTTCCACTTCTATGCGGCAGTGAGCTGCCTTTGCATCATTTATAACCTCCTTTTTGTGCTGATTGCCTGCTTGCCCCTATGATGTGCAGGCTCTCCACTGAGGACCAGGCTCCCGTCCATAAAGAGGCCTGCAAAAATAAATACGAGTGCTCCCCAATCCATCAGCCTCGCCACTGTAGACGCGTGCCCAGCAAAGCTGCACCTCCTGCTTTCTGTCTGAAAGGGGGACGGGGTCCAGCTGCTGAGCTGCAGTGGACTGGGGGCAAGTCAGAGCGAGAATGTGAAGCAGAGCCATCGACGGACAGATGGATCAAACCCCAGAAAGTCTTGCCAAGCCTCTGTCTGATTCTTCCAGATCTTCAGTTGTTTGTGATGCATTTTTTTACCACACGGGAGAAGGCGACAGCGTGCCATATGAGCAGGGCTGATGTTCAGACGTTCTTCTCGTCTTGAAGGTCTCACTGCTCCTCCTGGAAAGACTGGATATCCTCACCCAGCTGTCCGTGTAAATCCAGAGTGAGCTGGAAGGTGGCTCATCTTCAGCTCTGAAACCAGGCTGAGGGATCTGTGGAAACATCATGAGGCAGCCTGGCCAGAGTGCTCTGCTTTGCGGGGGACGTGTCAGCCCACAGACAAGTGCAGACAGAGAGGGGATTTGTTCGAAACCCTCTGAAATCACCGGGTTAAATTTCCTGTATGAATGACACCAACTTCGGGATTCTTGGCTGCGTTTCTTTCCTCTCGGATTCTGGATGCTAAGCTCTTTCCCAGGCATCTGCTCAAGCTGAATTCGGAGCTAAATACGGGTTCTATGAGCAACTGGACCTGGCGTTAAGGATCTGAACCCAACATCCTTCGTATTAGCCTGCTCAATAATTGGCTGATATTCTTGTGATCTTTGCCAAGGGCATCTCCCAAAACAGCCAGATTCAGACTCACAGAGGATTGTGGCATCAGGACCTCAGAGTGATTGACAGCAAGACATTTCACCTACAAGTCTGGTCACCTGGTCCCTCCCCCACTGACTCAGCCAATCAACAGGCAGCATCAACACCCTTATGCTACAGGGAAACGCTTGCAACCTTTTTCCAACCACTTTTTGCACACGGCCATCTGCCTGCACAAAAGCGTTTATACAGTTGCATTTTCCCAGCATGCATTGCTCAAGCTTATGATTTGACATTTTTCAGGAAAAAAGAAAAGAAAAATTCTTCTGCTGTTTCATGTGGACTTTATTTACAGAACCTCCAGGAAACATTGAGCCGTCCTCTGATCACTAACGAACGGATTGTATTTAATTAAGTCTCACCGGCTGCACAATCTGTCACTGCCAGGGCTAATTTGTTAGCGTGTGCGCTGTGATTAAAGGATCTTGTGGCCCACAAACCGCACTTGGCGCACAAACTTTCCCAATTTTGTGAATTCTCCAGGTATGAGGCGAGGGCCGAGGCCGGGCTGAGCCGAGCCATGCCATGCCATGCCATGCCATGCCAGCAAGCTGGGGCAAACTCCCCGTGCCCCTGGCGGTAATTAAAGACACCCCAGCTGGCAGCCCATTAATCATGCTTTATTTGGACTTTGAATCTGTAATGAAAAACAGTCTCTCGCCGGCCGGCTCTCCACTTTCCCGGCACAGTGCCGCAGTGCTGTGGCGTGACCGTCTCTCACCGTCCCGTCAGTGGGCGTTTGGGGCCGTTTCCTTCAAAGTCCCCCCCAGTGAATCCAGCCTCGGCAGCCTGCTTTGGGCCTCGAGCTGCACGCGGCGTCTTTAAAGCCAAACACAGGAGCAACACGTCACCGTAATGAAGCATCTCAGGGGCCTTTTAAATGGCGTCATTATGCTTTATCTGAACTACAGCTCCACAAACATCATGCCGGCATGCTTCCACTGCCCGCCCGCCTCTCTGAGCGTAGTCGCATTTTTCTCTGAGCGCTAAAACAGGCGTCAGCTTCCGGAAACCATTGCGGCCAATGGGGGACTGGCTGCCACAGACGGCAGGAGCGGCAGCCATCGCGAGGGGAACGCCGCGGCATCTGCAGGACCTCAGGCGCACGTCTGGGAAGGAAATGAAACACTGGGAGCATCTGCATGATGCTGCCCCCACGGGTGGGAGGGGAGGTTGCGCCACAGCACTTTGCAGAAATGCTCAGTGACCCCAGTCGTCCATATGAACACAGGAGAAGACATTTAAAAGCCATTAGTGGGACGAAAGGGAAGAGTAAAGTCTAGAGATGACTTCTGCTGTCCCATAAAACCTTCATGGTGTTTCATTCAGTGCCAGTCCCCTGAAAACGCCGACATCTGGACTCTAGTGCTCCTCTCGATAATGGAGACCCACAGCACACAACCCTCAGCAGCTAGGCTGGCCCACTCTGCTGCCCCGTTTAGGTTTGGGGTCTGAAACGCCCCCTCAGTCGAAGATATCTCCCTGCCAGTTGAATCCCGACCCCCACCTCCATCCCACCCCCCCCAATTTGGGACAAAGGTTTGAGCTGAAGAATCACGGGCCGGTTACTGTAGCCTCACAGCCACCCTCCAGCTGCCCTGTTTCTTTATTAAAGTGTGCGGTGCAGAAACCCCCCCCCCCCACCCCCCCACCAGTGTCTGATGAAAGTTCAGTGCTCCTTCGGAAAAACGTGCCGGGAAACCGCCAGCGCCACGTCCGGCTCGCGGCTACGCTGTTTGTTTGACAGTCGGCTACTGTTTCGGGGAGCTGCGGCCCGTCAGCGGCCCCCGCAGCACAGCTCACAGGGCCACAGCCATCCGCCGTGCCGGAAACGCTCTACTGATCAGTCCCGCCGCCGCCTCCGCAATACTTTCATGGCAGTCAAAACAAAATTAGGTTCGTTTATTATCTTAGGACAAGCTTTGAAACGGCCCTCGCGCAGCTGACGTCAGCCCCCCCCCCCCCCCAACAAGCCACGGGATTTTACCGGTGTCCAGGGGGCTGTTTATCTACCATTCCTTACTGGCTTTATGTCAGAGTGACATATCAGATTCGTGTAAAAAGAGTGCAGCAGCTTTATTTAAATAATTAATAATTTAATGTCCCTTTATTTATTTCACTGTCTATATTCCCGAGCGCTTGCTTCTTTCCAGGACCGAAGCAATCGATTTGGCAGTAAACTGGAACGTCTTCATAAATATACTCCGTATTACAAAGTATTGCTTTACCTATATTATTATGCATTATTAAAAGGGTGAAATTCATTTGTTCACTACCGAATAAATACCTGATGTATTTTTATTCCGTCCTTGGTCTCCCTGTGCACGTATTAATCAATAAAATTTCAGGTGAGGCAACAGCGACACCTAGTGCTCATAACCTGGAATTCGCATTAGACCGTATGGAGTTTCTACTGAAAAGTGTCCGATGACGCTATTCCACTAGACATTTCGCACCGTTTTCGGAGCAAATAAACCGCCTTTCCTTTGTACACATTAAAATTCACCTTAAACTGTCCCACTCATGTTGTTGAGGCTTCCTTCAGCAGAGTGGTGTCATGGCTGTAAAAACATCCTCATCCGCAGAGTCCAGCCAAGTGAAACGCCCTGCCGCCCTTCTGGTCCATCCTCCACATCAGCTATGCGAGCTTCTGGTCCATCCACCACATCAGCTATGCGAGCTTCTGGTCCATCCTCCACATCAGCTATGCGAGCTTCTGGTCCATCCACCACATCAGCTATGCGAGCTTCTCTTCTGGGGTGCAGGAAGGAGTAGTAGAGAGAGAGGAACAGGAGGCCCATGATAGTGCCCGCTGCTATCACAACGACCGTCTGCCAGAAAAAGTCCAACTTCTCGGCAGCTGGTGTCAAGAAGAAGAACATCAGAGGCACCAGCAGGTTCTGCAGAGCGGACATGGCATAGTAGACGGTCATGGGCACCTTTGTGTTCTGGCCTTTTATGTTGAAAAAGGTGAATATGAGTATGAAAGCCACGACAGCCCTGTAGAACCACTCCAGACCTTTGGATGTGCAGAAATCTGTCTGGACTACAAGGGTCCACAGGAAGCCCAGGAGCCAGAGGAGTAGCAGAACCGCGAGGCAGTAGGTGCTGAAGAGCAGCAGCATGCTGAGCGTGAGCACGCGCGCGCACACCATCAGCAGCTTGTACAGCAGGTACACCAGCAGGGCGGCGCCAGGGGGCATCTCAGACAAATTTGGCATGGACCGCCGAAAGCATCGCCAGTAGTCCACGGTCGCCCAGGCGATGTTGAAGAATGAGCCGACGATAGAGATATCTGGGGGGGGGGGTTGAAAAGCCATAAGCCGAGCTGATCATAAAACAGCATGATGATTAACTGCCCAATGTGATAATTAACTAACCGTGGGGGGAGGGGACACCCATGGTGGGCGGGACTAACGAGTGCTGTCAGTCACCATCTACTTTGATTTCTCATTGGTTACTTCCCCCTGCTGAGGCCCTCTAGGCCTTTTCACTTCTTTAAATATGTTCGGTCCACAAACTGCTGACCCAACAGACTCACACTGAATTATGGACCTCTGGTCATGGCCCAGGACGACGTATAGCTGCAAGACCAGCTGGGGGGCGCTCTCGAGGAAGGTCTCAAACAGCCGGAGCATGCTCAGGTCGGCAGCCTGGCCGAACAGCTGCAGGTGGAGTTCATCCTCATCGTACCAGTCATACTCTTTGGTCCACAGCACCCTGCAGGCCATCTTCAGGTGCTGTTGGTACCTGCAGGGGGCAGTGCACATGCTCTCAGGGAGATAAACGCTTCGTTTTCATTCACTTGCAGCGCTGGCATCTCTACACTAGACTTTGATGCCCAGAATAAAAATTACATATTCAAAGCTTGAGGCCACCTGGGTGTTTATCTGGTGTCTTTAAGGTTCCGCACACATGATTGGGTATGCAGTGACACCTGCAGGGGGCAGAATAGAGCCAGACCTGCCTCTCCCTGGGGAGGTACTTTCAGAGGTCAGACTACAAGCAATGCGCAAATAGAACTTCTGGAATAAAATAATTTTAGAGCCCGTAAAACTTTAGTCAACATAATAGTTATGATTATTCAACCTGCAAAGAAAACACAGATAGCTACTAAGAGGACTCAAGCAATTGAGAGGAGCCACAACAGGTGACTAATAAAACTGTAAGTACATATGGGAGGAATGCTCATCAAGTTAAGATAAGCGGTGTTTTATTGTGTCAGTTACATCATACAGACCGGCGCCTAACAGTGTTGTCATTAGACTGCAGGGGGCGCTGGATGGAAGCCAAATGAGCCCATTAAAGCACCCCACAGATTACTTACTAATGTTATTAAATTATCCCATCAGTACAGCCATGAGAGACTGAGGGCAAACACACAGGACAGACAAAAAAGTAAAACACAGGATAAAGACAGCAAATAAACAGATCAACGGGCATACAGGTCCAACGTAAAGGACAGAAATACAGGTCCAGCATAAAGGACAGGCATGCAGGTACAACAGAAAAGACAGGCATGCAGGTACAACAGAAAGGACAGGCATACAGGTCCGACACAAAGGACATGCATACAGGTACAACAGAAAGGACAGGCATACAGGTCCAACAGAAAGGACAGAAATACAGGTCCAACATAAAGGACAGGCATGCAGGTACAACAGAAAGGACAGGCATGCAGGTACAACAGAAAGGACAGGCATACAGGTCCGACATAGACGACAGGCATACAGGTCCGACACAAAGGACAGGCATACAGGTCCAACACAAACTACAGGCATACAGGTCCGACACAAAGAACAGGCATACAGGTCCGACACAAAGGACAGGCATACAGGTCCAACACAAAAGACAGGCATACAGGTCCAACACAAACTACAGGCATGCAGGTCCAACACAAAGAACAGGCATACAGGTCCAACACAAAGGACAGGCATACAGGTCCGACACAAACTACAGGCATGCAGGTCCAACACAAAGAACAGGCATACAGGTCCAACACAAAGGACAGGCATACATGTCCAACAGATAGGACAGGCATACAGGTGCAACACAAACTACAGGCATATAGGTCCAACACAAAGGACAGGCATGCAGGTCCGACACAAAGGACAGGCATGCAGGTCCAACACAAAGAACAGGCATACAGGTCCAACACAAAGGACAGGCATACAGGTCCAACACAAAGGACAGGCATGCAGGTCCAAAACAGGATAAGCATGTGCCAAGGATAAAGACAAAGGACAAACACAGAACCAACACATAGATTTAACATAGGAGCTTAAAACAGATGACTGACAGAGGTGTTCAACACCGAGACTTTAGACAGACATTTGAAACAGAGCATTGACACATGAATTCACACACAGAAATTTCATGCAGACAGATGTAACACACAGGTTTGGCAGCTCATACAGTAAAGAAGATTTACATCATTAGACAACAAATCTTCCTATTCAAGTTACACACATTCACAGAGGGACTGGCCACATTTCCATGTAACTTCTTTCAAAGTCCCCATAACACTGCAGAAAGGAACAATGGGGTCTGTTAGCTGTACACAACAGCAAGCCCAAAAAGTCTAAGCGATGTTTGGAAATACTACTCCGACTCTTAGAGCACGTTGATGTCACGCTGCTGCCCTGGTTGGACTTTAGCAGGTTACATAACGTCATCAATAACAAAACGTGACCATCATGCGATGTCAGGAAGGGCAGAGTGCTGACCCTGTCACTGAGGTGTGCTAGGACAGCTTCAGGGCTTATCAGAGGAGCTCTTTATGATTGTAACTGCAGCACGTAGAGCCGGAATGACATCTGCTAGCTGTGAGCAGAGATAGCTGGGCTGAAAACATGCGTGATGTCTGGATATGTGGTATCTCAGCATCTCAGCTCTTAATCTCGTGCCCCCACAATGAAATAATAGCTGCAGTGTTTGTCTCACTGCTGAGCTGTTTCAGTGAGATATGCGTGTACACCTTCCCCATATATACTTTAACTGTTATGAGGAACAGGGTCTGTTTCTGAGGACGGCAAGGACCTACGGAACTACCTGGTGAAGATGCCCAGCTGGAGAACGTGCAGCACGACCAGAGAGAGCCTGCAGTTCCGGCCCGTCGAGGTCACAGCGGCCAAGTCATCACAGAACCAGGCGTAACTGAACACCTGGCTGCACACAAACCCATTCAGGACAAAGAGGAGGGTCAGGGAACCCCAGACAAAATTTCCATTGCTGAAATACTGTCCCGCAACCCAAACATCAGCGATGATGTCTGCCACATAAAGGACCAAGCCCGCAACAGTGCGGAACCACCTGAATTTTGTGAAACGCATGCTCGGTCCCTCCCTACATGTCCTCAGCGTGAGGACCCGGTATAGGGCACCCCCTGGTGTACCGGAGGTCACACATGTTTATACCACTGGAGCAAAAGCCTGTCCTTGTCACTGATTTTACATCTTCGTAAAGGTTCTCAACAGTCAGCATTTCCTGCCAGGTGCTTCAATCCTGAGGATAGAAGTAAGGCCAGATCAGGTACGTAGAATGCATTCAGCCATTCAGAAACACAGCCTACTCTGAAATATCATGGAACTTTCAACAATCACAAGGTGGTAAACATACAAATAGCCCTAACGAAAGTACACATTACAAAGAAGGGCGTATACACGCGTACGTGTAACCTGTGAGTGCCAATCAGATTTTTGTTTTCCCTTGTTGTTGGTAGGAATTTTGCACGTAGGCTTTTGCATAAAGAACATACTGTACCAGCTGTCACGTCTATTTCCTTCGCCGTGTTTAATTGTTGTTGAAATGAACATAGCTGAATGGAGTGTGTGGAATGCACGTGCCAGATAAAGCGCGCACCCAATCTGAGAATAACCCGGAACTGTCTCAGGCTGTCAGGACCAGTAACAGTGTTTCCACATTAATGAGCACTCCTAATGAGTCAGTGTGTTCTCTGTGTCCTCGGCTGGTCATTATAGTTTCCTAATTTGTGAACCAGATCAAGAAAGATCTTTAACTCAGGCTCAACACAGAGATTCAACACAGAAGTTTAATTAAAGACGTATTTTATATAGAGAGTGAACACGAATTATTAACGAATGGGATCAATAAAGTATATCATCTATCGATCCATTCATCCATCCACCTATCTATCTATCTAAACTGAAAGAATAAACACAGAGGTTAATACAGAAACTTTTAGCACATGTTTAATACAGATCTTCCAACATTGATTTAACACTGAGCATCACATTCCATAAACGGATTAAACAGAGTTTTAATACAAACTTTCAACGGCTTCACTAGAGTATAGTATATTTGTTAAACACACACACACACACATTAACCTGTTACATACACATGCGTGTGAAATCAGCACAGAGCCGAACTGACATTGACAGACGTACCTGCACGTCCGGCTCGCGTCCGCGGTTACTGGCGTCACTGTGCTGCTTCCCGGACGGAACCGCAGCCCTGCCTCCGATCATCCAGCCTCCATCCCCGCCTCCGATCATCCAGCCTCCATCCCCGCCTCCGATAAGCCGTTCTTATCTGCGGACTGGTGCTTAGTGACACATGGCGAAGTGTTGTCGGCTTATCACTTTCTGGGTTTGCCTGCGTTTTCTCACCCTGATACACCTGAGCACAGAAGGGAAATATGAATTACTGTAGCAGGTATTTTATCGCAGCGTCATCTTTACTATGACAAGCATTCACCTGAGATTTTAAGATGGGTTTGAATGCCTGAAATGCCTGGTCGGACTTGTATTTTAACTATATGCTGCGAAGCCCTCACTAAGTGATTCGCGAATGCAATTGAATTTCAACGAAAAATATTCATGTAGATATGAAAGACAGCCTATTAATCTCTAAGTTTGTTCATAAAGTTATGCTTCAAATCGTAAAATTATTAACACACTATGGCATACGCATTCTTTCTTTCCTTTTTTTTTTTTGTTAATTGATGCAAGACAGGTTAATAGGATGATCTTTCATCCACACTCCTCGGCCACCGGCACTACATGCACGCACTGAATGATATGTCACATGATGACAGGCAATGATCGGTTTATTTTTTATTATTTTATATGATATGATATATATTTTTTTTTTTTTAGCAAATCGCTAATTTACAACGTTCAATGTAAATAAAACGTTCCATACACATACATAGTAGTGTTTGATGTATTGATATTTAAGATTTTATATCAAGCGTAATGTAAAATAATGTCATTTTGGAAATGATACGTTTTAATACAATTATATTGAATAAAGTCATATACGTACACACATGCCAATCATAAGTCAAAACGTTGCTAAATTTGGCTGAATTATACACGCCAGAAGTGGTACTAAATGAGAGCTGTTTGGGAGCTGAAAGAGTCACTCTTACTGCTGAGCTTAATTGATTGATCTTTCTCAGTAAAACGAGGAATTCCCATCACTAGTATACAGGGCACGTGAAGCAATGCTCGGAATCGACCGCTTGGAGGCAGTGTTGTATTACTGTCAGAGTAAGGGGGACACGGCAACAGTTAGGTCTACATATTCAGCACGGGGAAACGTACCGCGAGTAAAGACAGGCTGGAATAAAGGACAGCACGATGCTGCGTTGATTTTTAAAAATAAAATAGATGGATGGATGATGGCTACACAAATAATTAAAAGGTTGATTCAAAATAAGTTAATGTCAGTCTAGCATTTAGACTATAGATGTGAATTTCTCTGGGAAATTATCATGGTTCATTAAGCATCGAGTTGTGTGAATATGAAACAGGCAGATCAACCTGGGAAAATTAGAATATCTGAATAAAATAAACATGTCTGGGCTTGTGCATGTCCGAGTGTGGGCAGTCAGTTTGGCAGATCAGGGTTTTATTGCAGTATTTTGTAAGAACTGAAACTTGTGCAAGCACCTGTAACAGCAGCTAGGCAACAGCAGCTAATGTTATTTCAGAAAGCACTCAGTCTGTACATAATGACGGTCATGTGACCAAATCATTCCACAAAGTGCCAGTATGACTATGTGCAAACTGAGGCAGAGAGAGGATTGAGCAATTGGAGTGGTTTCCCTGTGGTCATTCCTGTCTTTGTGCTTGCTGACTGTCTCGTCTTAGCATGAGTGTAAAGCTCTGCCACACATACAGACTATGGGAAAACATGGTGAGAGAACAACTCCACGAAACAACACCAAGAAATGAACTCCTCCCTCCAAAAATCACCCCTGATTTTGTCTCTCATCTTAAGAGTGGACAATGAAATCTGGCGTCAGGGACTGGCATGGGGAGTTAGAACAGAAGCGGTTATAACTGCAAAGGGTGGGTCGACTAAATATTAAAGCCTAAATATTAAAAATGGGATGTCATTAAAGTTCATGCGTGTGTAGACAGGTGTCCCAATACTTTTGGCAATATAGTGTAGCTGAGCAAACTACGAATATATGAAATGAGAAAAAAAATGTTTGCATAGGAACCCTGGGGAAAGCGTCCTTGGAAGGGATGAAATGGTATTAGCCAGCAGAGACCTGTGTATTGAGCAGGGATGGGATCAAAGTCATTCCTTGGCGAGTCCGAGTCAAGTCTTGAGTGAAAACATTGCAGTGCAAGTCAAGTCTCGAGTCATTTGCTCTCAAGTCCAAGTCAAGTCTAAGTCTTTCCGTCATTTTTGCTGTCAAGTCACAAGTCATTAAATTTGTGACTTGAGACCAAGCCGAGTTATGAGACATGTAACTTGAGTCCCTACCTATTGTCACGCCCACAGGGGCCAGGGCGACACAATGGTAGACAATCGCCGCTTAATCAGCAGGACGATCCGTTACCTACTTAAGCCAATCGCAACTTCCCGGAAGTTGCGAGGTATTGTTGCCATTTTTGAATGTGCCTTACTAAGCGTTTTGACCGTCTCTTGTTTCCCCTGTTCATCCTGCCTGCTGTGTTCTGCCCTGCTGTTTCATCTACCCTGCCTGCTTCTCGTCCCTCTTCGACCTGCCCGATCCCGTCCGACCTGTCCTTCTGCCCTGACGATTCAACCCCGCTTCCTTCGTCATTTCCCCGTCCCGTCTCTCCATGTAGGACTGACTCTCCCGGTTATCGACATCTGCCCGTTTTACGACTACCCGTTTGGATTCTCCCTTTGGCTCTGATTGTACCCGGCTTTCCAAATAAACCTGTCTCCTGCATTACGGGGTTCGCCTGTTCCTTGGCTGCACAGCGTAACACCTATGCCAGTTTTTTTTTTTACATTTAGTGATTAACACTTACTGCAGCAAAAACCTGCCACAGTAGGTCACAGGATACATTTTTTTCAGGCAGAGACGGGGCGAAAAGAGAGTGTCCACTCACAGTTGTCCTCATACAGTTTTGTATGTCAACAAACTATCTCAGGAAACCTTGAACTCATTGAAAATGCAGACAGCGAAAGAATTAATATACACAGAAATGATAAAATTAACGTTATAGTAACCAGAGGAGGACTATAACCTCAAATCTTCTTGAGTCACAGGGTTCAAGTCTTTCCATCAGTTTAGCAGAGACGAGTCACAAGTCATCAAATTTGTGACTTGAGTCTGAGGCGAGTTGCAAGTCAGTGACTGTCTCTGGTATTGAGAGTGAAGATCTGAGTGTACAGGAGGTTTTGCAGTTTCACCATCTGCACTGCACATGTCACTTGTGCAGGACATGAGTTTTGAATGTGCATGTAAGGATTTGCTATTTATGCCATGCCATTTCGGCTACAGGAAACACCAGTTTTCAATGGCTGCAGGCAGTATGTGTGCGTTGTCTATCTGTCAGAGATATTGACCATGTTCCAGCGTACTTCTTGTCTGGACTGACCTCTAGTTCTTTAATCTTACACCTATTTTAAGAGCTGCAAAGTTCAGGGTAAGGCTGTCTGCCTAAGGCTCAAGCCACTTTCAGCAGAGCATAGCGCTACTCTCTCCTCAGATCAGTTCATGCTGAAGACTAGTAGCTGTTGACCGTTACACCCAGCAGCTTAATTATAAGTTTTGTAGCATGTTGTCATTGGAAGTGGGACTTGATATGTATCAAATGCGTCACTGCAGAAATGAAAAATTCTCACCAGGACATAGAGTTGGATGTCTTGAGACCGGTCTTGGTCTGGAGACCACTTTTATGTGGTCTTGGTCTTGTCACAGTCTCGACGGTCTTTGGTCTTGGTCTTGTCTTGGTCTCGGATCCCTCGGTCTTGTCTTGGTCTCGCTGCCTTGTTCTTGCTGTCTCAGATCGACATAGTGGTCAGGAGATTTGGAGCGAAAAGTATCCCTGACACACAACGTAACGTTCGATAATGCAACATTATTATTATTTTGCCTTTCGCGCCCTTCAAATACAACCAATCAATGATATACATGCATTTTGTTGTGATTCAGACATTGGCGCTCATCCAATAAAAATACGCTTTATAAGCGCAAAATAAGTGTAGCGCTAGTTAAACGTTAGATCCAGCATCACAGGCTATAAGATGTTGCAATCTTTAGTTTTCCTGAAGTGCAATCAACCACTATTTTAAAATGAGAACTGTTTTCTCTCTCTCCCTCCTCTCTGAAAATATGCCTATTAACAGTGATGCTTTCTCTCTCTCTCTCTCTCTCTCTCTCTGTTTTTAAGTATTTCATCTATCTGTATTAGTTTATCAATCTGTTATTTGTCCATAATTTCTGTGTTCTATTGTTCTTGCCCTACTGAACAACAGGCTTGATATCACTGGCAGTGTGTTGTAATCATTTGCCACTGCAGACATCAAGATGTCAGAATCTTTTAAGCACTTGTCCTTATTTTTATTAATGCACAATTTGATGTGCAGTTTGCATTGGTATATAGTATTTGTAGTTTGCATTTGATTCATGTGACGTGTGCACATGTCTTTATATTGTTTGATTACAGTATTTTACTTAAAATGGTGTTGACTAAATAAATGTGATCATTGGATTTCAAATAACATCTGCATATCACGTTGTGTTGACTTAACAGGCCTAATCCATTTCAGGGCAGTTGATATCATACAGTGTCATTTGGCTAGTACTACTACAATGGGACATGATGCAATTTCAAGTTTATAATTGTGTATCTTCAATTTGATGTTACAATTTCATCTACAAATTAAGTATAATTGAAATCAGTTACGTATTTCCCATTCTTTAGACAGTTGTTGGAGGTGTTAGCTGTTTTGTCAGATGACTTTGGGACCAGTCAGTACCCGTCATGTCAGTCCTCAACAGCACACAACAGTTAAGGGAGTCTTTTTTTCAGTCTTGGTCTCGGTCTTGGTCTTGACTCGGTCTGTCTTGGTCTTCGTCTTGGTCTTGTCATGGTCTCGATACCCTCTGGTCTTGGTAGTGTCTTGGTCTTGGTTTAGGCGGTCTTGACTACAAGTCTACCAGGACACCGAGAGTATAAGAGACTACCGCTGTTGCGGGCATTGTTTTTGTCACAAAACTGTATCCTTTGTTTCCATGGCAATTCTCAATAGGTGAAGTGTTTGTCAAATTGGTAAAATAATCTTGGAACAATTCGGGATTATAAAAAAGTGACGTGTAGGTCCTCCCTCTGTCATTTTGGGTGGAGAAGCTGCCCTACTGCATTTTGGGTTCATTTTATATTTTATTAGGAAAGATCAAATCATTAAGCTGCTCCTGCATTCAAATGCCAAACGGAAAAAAGAAAGCATCCATTTCCTTCATACAAACAGTGAGATTAATGATTAATTTTAGTACACCATACACAAGGCATGGACTTTCTCCAAAGAAACAGACCCAACCTTCGTTACATAAAACAAGGCAAATTTACTATGAATGGGTACTGACTTGTGTCTGTAAGGTGGGGGAAAGTTAAGATAATTCCAAGGGCCCCTGAGTGACAGGGGGCCTAGAAAATTTGGGAAATAACTGGATTGGTCTGGACTGGGGGGCCCAATATGATATGCTGTCATGTTTCTGGCCCAAAATCTCAAAAACTTTCCTGTGTCTCCTTGAGCAAGGCCCTTAACCCCGAGCTCCCTGGACACTGCCATGGGTGGCTGCCCTTTGTGGACAGCTTGCTTACAAAGAGCTAGTTGAGGGAGGCGTAAAAAAGACAATTTCACCACAGGAATTAATAAAGTGATTTGATTAGAAGCCGTGTCCATTGCAGGCATGACAAAGATCTTACCAGCTGTGGGGGGGGGGGCTGCTTAGCAAAAAATATTTAAGGAGAACAAATCACCCACATTAAAGCCCCACTCCCCCCGGACCTTAGCACCTTAGCTCTTAGGTATATGATCACGCTTTACTGGTAGGGGGTCCTTATATATAGGGTTGTTGTCATCTGGGGGTCACTGTCAGAGAAACCTGCCATAACTCATGCATTATTCCAGATCTATCTGGTGAGCCTTTCTATCTATCTATCTATCTATCTATCTATCTATATCTATCTATCTATCTATCTATCACGGTACCTGGATTTATGCAGCAATGTTGAAAAATGCATTTAGGATGACAGAATTAGATAATATGTTTGCTATGTGGAGAGCCTAATTGGCTGCAGAGGTTTGTATTAATTCTGTTTAATTGCTTTTTCATTAATATCAACCCCAAGTGTAGGTTTGTGGAGCCAAAGCTGAGCCCAGGAGAAACGAACATTAACTAAGCAGTTATTAAAATCCCTGTTATGAGATCTGCACATTCAAAAATCACAGTGATGTTAATTTGTTACTAATTCAAGAGAGAAAGTGGGACAGAGCAGAGCCCTTTTTACTCTGAACATTTCATACTTTGTACCAAACTTTAGAGATGATGTTTCTGATTAAATCCGCTCTCCAGTGTAAGTGTATCATAACCTCATGTTAACCAACCCTAATTCAGCCTCACTAACTACATGTAAACGTCCAAAATCTTAAAGTGAAAACACACATTTTGACACAATGGTCACATGATATCTTCATATGTATCAGAAGTAGGAACTGAAATGTAATTTCATTGGTATTAAATTTTATTTAAGAATGCCATCATATGATTCAGGATTTTGCGGCCTCATTTGGGGAATAACCGTATCCGGCTCGTGCTACACACGACTATGTCAGGTACAAGAAGCTTACTGATATGAAGTTTGTCATTGCCGTCGCCCAATCAAAAAGACTTAGAGCATTTGCAGCTGAATATTCTGCTGTCTGGTTAAGCCAGGCTCAAACCATTGCTGGGACGTGAACCAATGCTCTGCAGGCTACAGATCTGTGCCCTTGATACCTTGCACCACACTGCGGCACATCTTCACATGGGAAACCAGCCTTTGCTGCTGCGTGAAGAGCCTGCTTCTGTGTGACCTGTAAAACCAGGAGCCTGCAGTGATGTGACAAGTCTCAGGACTACTTTGAGCTGCCAGTGTTCCCCGAACAGCATTTTTTTTGTCACATCTCTATATGCAGGATGTTAATAAATATCTATGCAGGAATTTTCCATGCCCACTTACGCAGTGCAGAGATGCGGTGGGCTTGGTAGGGGAATCCTGGGTGTGATTTCTGTAAGTTGCTGTGTACACACTCATGCAATAACAGCACCCTGAAGGCCATTATGGATACACCAACTAACCAAAACAGCTGGAACGTGTGTGGCTCAGTGTATTAGGGTGCTGTGCCTGTGATGAGAAGGCTGCCAGTTCAAATGCCAGGGTTGACAGAGTGATGTGATGTGGCCCTTGAGCAACCCCCAACAACTCCAGGGACTCAAGAATGAACGCTGCTTTGGATAAAATCATCTGTCAGGTACATAAAATGAAAACTCAATATAGAATAGAGACAGAAATCAAGCCCACAACCTTGGAGACATAAGGGTACAGTTATGCCATGATAACAAGCAGAATTTATCTAGACTCTTTGACTATTCCATTTACATTTTATTCTTATCTTTGCACTGATAAGCTCGCTTTCACATTAATCTATAAAAAGCCTTGTAAGGCTCGTTTATCATGCGGGCGCACTACATTTCCACTCTGATCCTTCTTTTTCTATCTCCCGTCGCCAAGCGCCCTGCATTGCGTCCTCCGGATCTGAAGGGGGCGCCCGCCCAATCGACGTACCCCTCGCATCACCCCCCCCCTCCCCTCCTCCTGTCGCTCGACTGATAGTTGGCGCTGGCAGGCCGGCGACTGCTAGTAGCGGGTTGGTCACCGCAGGAAGCGCAGAGCAGGAGCAGTATCAGCATCAGCAGCCCCGCAGACGCGAGTCGGAGTACCCATCCGGTGATCGGCAGCATGGGGGTTCGGAAGAAAAGTAGCAAGAGCCCGCCGGTGCTCAGCCATGAGTTCATCATCCAGAACCACGCCGACATCGTGTCCTGTGTCGCCATGGTCTTCCTCCTTGGGCTCATGTTCGAGGTGAGTTCTGCGCCCGCAGCCCAGCCGGGCTGGACCGGACCGCAGCGCTCACACGGAGCCCGTCAGGTTGAACCAGGTGCTCGTCCATCCGAATCGGAACCGGAAGCGTGTGCCTCCTTTTAAGGGGAGCTTTGATCACCTTTAACCTCGCACCCATGCGCTTCCCGGCGTTTTTAGATCTTTTTAGGGATATTTCTGCCGCTCTCACTTGGGGCTGTGAGACCGCAGCCTGCCTGGTTGGGGGCGCCGCGGCCGCTCGCAGCCCCGACACTTTAGCGTTACGTGGCAGTCTGTCAGCGGTCGGCCGGGGCGGCAGCCCACTAGGCCAGGACCGACCTGCCTTCCCCTTGGCTCACCGCTGCCTGAACCTCCCACAGGGTCTCTTTCAGAGAATATCTACTGCTCTCTGGAACCGCTGCGAGTGAAAAACGCCACTTTAAATGCATTTGCGAGCTTTAGGCCGCAATGCGTCATGGGAGTTGTAGTTCCGCCCCCCCCTCCGTGATTGTAGTACATGAAGAAAAGTACACATCATGCTACAGCAGTACACTAGTGGCGTGCAATCTGGCTTTTGAATGTGTTGATTGTGAAGCACAACACCGCTATTTATAATGTAGAAGGGCTTTCTTTGCCAGGTTTACACACACGAGTCGTCTTTTACTTAACCTTTTTCTAAAACACTGACATGTCAGCACCACCGGAGCCTACGGTACTGACCACGACACTTGGCATCTGTCTGTCTGACGCATTTGCTCTTCTCTGTCTTGCAGGTAACATCTAAGGTGGCTGTGTTGTTCATCACCGTTCAATACAATGTCACCATCACGTCCAGTGGTGAGTGTGCTTCCCCGTAAGG